CAGTCCTGAGTCACTGTGTTTTCACCGCTGGTGGTAATGGGAGCGCTGACTGTCGGGTGCGGTGTTGTGCGACTGTCTCATGTAACCCAGTAACCCCTGGTTCCCCAGTGCAGGTTGTGTTGTTAACCTTCTTAGAGATGAGGAGCTGGAGAGGGCACAGAGCTGGGAGTCAGCAGTGGCTTCCAGGAGTCACTGCTGCTTCACCTGCAGCACAGGTCCCCTCTTAGCATTCATCTCAGCTGCTGGGCCATCTCCCTTTTCTTTTGTTGAGTCAAAATCTGATACAAAGAAGTTATTTGGATTCTTTTCTCTTTTCTCTTTTCTTTTGGTAATGGGGACTGAACCCAGGACCTTTGCACTGAGCTACATTTGTAACTCTTATTTTCAACTTTTATTTATTTTGGAATAGGATCTCACTAAATTGGGCTCTAATTTGTGATCCTCCTGCCTCAGCCTCTTAGCATGCTGGGAATACAGGCTTGCACCCTGCCTAACTAGTTGGTCAGATATTTCAATTAATGGTTCAACAAATGCATCTGTATGGGAAGGAGGGACTTAGAAGGCCTGAGAAGACTGTGCCGAGGCTCCCTGGCTTCTGTAGGGTACTAGGTTGAGCTCCGTTTCTGTGAGGTCTTACAAAACTAGGTGAGGCACGATTCAAGGATGAAGCTTGCATTACGGATAATAAGCATCTCACTATTTTATTTTATGTAATTATGGGAGTCACATTTTAGTTTTGAGTTTCCTTTTGTGTGACATGCTGTACCTAAAATTGGTTTCCTGTGGACTACTGCAGAATTTTTGTCAGGATGTCTGAATAACAAATATTTTTCTGTGCCAGTAAGTGATAAGGAACTAATGCACTGTTACTGTGGGTTCCAGCGGGATTCTTAGCAGGACCTTTTTGAACACCTTAAGTCATTTGCTGTATTTTGTATTCTTTTCTGACCTATGGCATTTTTAAAAAGTTAATTTTTCATTGTAATACTTTTTTGGGAAACCTGTCCTTGTCCTAATTGAATGATCCAGAAAATGTGGTATGGAAAACAGGTGTATGTGTATTTTTAGACAATTGTATGATGTGTTCATACCCTTGACCCAGTGTCATGTTTTCCCCTTCCTAATTATTTGCTGTGGTTGCTAGCCAATTATCTCTCCTACCAACTTCTATAGAATTAAATTTATTTAATAGGTAAAGTTTATTCGCCACTACTCCTTCACCCTTCACAGCTTGTGTGGTAATGCTCCAGATAGCCTGATCCATCATCTGGGGTTTGCAGCAGGGGAAACGAGCCTTGGGAGCGGTTTGGTAATTTGCCCAAAGTTGTACAGCCAGCAAGTGGTAGAATAAGATTTGGTTTCTGCTGTCTCTGGCTGCACAGAATGTGTAGGGCAGAGAGGGACAGAGACAAAGACTCAGTACGGCTTTGGTGAGAGAGGAGGGTTAGTTGTGTTGGTGGATGCACTGAGCTCTCCTGGGTGGTTGGTTCTCTGATGAACGAACCATCCTTGTTTATGGCAGGTGAAGTCGGCATCATTGTATATTTTGAGATTAGAAAGGACAAAGTATAATCAAGTACATTACCCGAGTTGCGAGGCAGGACTATGAGTATTACCTCTTTTCAGTGAGGTCAGGCCCTCTCCAAGGTACTTACAGTGCCACAGACAAATTTTCCATGGGGAGAGTGGGACAGGGCAGGACAGCAGCACTGTAGCAGGTGCACCGGCCTAGCTGGCCGGCGGGAAAGGTAAACCTGAGGGAAGCTGTGTGGATGCTGCCTTGGAGGAAACTGCTTTCAGCTCTGCTCTGACCTGTGGAGATGAGAAAAGCCAGCATCCATCCATGTCTTAGTACTTGTTGTTCAAGCTGGGGCTTTATTTTAGCTTAATGGTTCCGTGGCCTGGCTCACAAGCACAAGGTCCGGAGTTTGTGATCCCCGGCACCAAACAAACAAACAAACAAAACACAACAGTAATTGATTGCTCACCAGTAACTTTGTACACACAGACTTTAACTATGAGTAGCCTTTTTCTTTTCCTTTCGTTTCTCAGAGGCACTTGCTTTTCACTTCAGAAAGACACTTGTCTGTTATGAAAACGGTTACCTTGGGCAGGGATTTAGCTCAGTGATTCTGCCGCCTGCCTCGCAAGCAGAAGGACCTGAGTTTGATCCCTAGTACCCAAAAAAGAAAAGAAAACGGTTACCCTGTGGGTTTCTCTGTCTGCCCACCGGCCTCAAAGAGACTGCAGCACGGTGTGTGTTAAGCCAGGAGCTGCCTCAGAGTCAGTGGTGGGAGTGAGGGAGCCCTGGGTAGCACCCGCTGGCGCTCTGACCCTGGGACCCGAGAAGCCAGCTTCAAAAGTGTGTCTTGTGGTGTAGCTGCCACCTTTCAAGACTCCTCCAGTGCTGCCTGATGGGAAGGAAGCACAGGCCTGATGGGAAGGAAGCACAGCAGACGGCGCTTTTTCTGCCCTATACAGGGCCCAGTCGGGCAGAGCCTCCTTTTCCTTCTTTCAAGGAGGCAGGAGAGCAGTTAAGGGGTCACCTCTGCGGCAAGGGGCACATGATCTGTTCTGTGAACAGTGGGAAGCAGGTGGAGACAGGACAGAAATTTTAATCTCATGTGTAATATTTTTCCTTTCTCCCAGTGCTGAAGATTAAACCTAGGCCTTCACAGTGAGCTACATCCCCAGGCCTTTTTAACTTTATTTTTATTTATTTTATTTTTATTTTGAGATAGAGTCTTGTTAGTCACTAAATTGCCTACACTGGCCTTGAACTTGTGATCTTCCTGCCCGAGCCTCCCAGAGTGCTGGGAGTACAGATGTGAGCCATCATGCCTGGCTTCATTACTTTAAATATATATGTAATACATAACATATACATTGGATATTAGATATTTTCATACTGGAAATCGAACTCAGGACCTTTCATCTGCAGCACCACTGAGCTGAATCCCCAGCCTATATTAGATTTTAATAGTTACAGGAAGAGAGAAAAGATAAGATGAGCTGCTTTTTAAGAATGTCAATATTGTATTTTGCTATTTGAGATTATGGTTGTCATCTTTATAGTTGTGTTAATGCCGTCTTCAGCTCTTGATTTCTCCTACTAATTACCAATAGTTAATTACTGAAGGGTACAGCTGTGGGATTATGTGGCTGCAGAACTCAACACCAATTAGCAAATTACAGGATCCACTTGTGGATAAACTTAGGGCAGTCCCTGTCTCCTTATATTTAAAGGATCACAGATAAATTTGTATTATCAGAAGTTTGTACAATTGTTTGACCTTAAATTTTATTTTATTTTATTTATTTATTTTTTACTAGTAAAGGTCCTTTTAGCTTTGTAAAATACCTTCGGTTCTTAACTTGTTTGATTAGTGCATATTTGCTGTACACAGTGATTACATTTCTTTCTGGGGAGTTGGTGCCTGTACATAACACATATTGGTTCATCTTACTTTTTTGGGGGGGCATTGGGAATTGAACTCAGAACCTTGAGCTTGTGAGGCAGGCACCAGAACCACTGAGCTAAATCCCCAGCTGATTTATTTCATTTAACTTTATGGTCTCAGGGTACATCAAATGACTCAAGTTCATTTGTCCTGCTTTATGGCAGAGTAGTACTCCATTGTGTAAATAACCGCATTCTCTTTATTCACTCATCTGTTGAGGGATACACAGGCTGCTGCCAAGAAGTAGCTATTGTGATTTGTGCTGCTATAAACAGGGTGTGCGTGTATCACTGTGATGTGATGGCTTTAACTCTTTTGGGAAGATTTGTATCTAGGAGGGGCATGGCTAAGGTGCTGGCTTCAAGCTTTCCATTCTTCTCTAGCCTCGCAGGTAGCTATGATTACAGGCAGATGGAAGAATGTACTCTTGAGTTCCATGAAAACCCGTGAGGTGGTAGTTGATTTAAAGTTTAATGCTTTGACAGTTAATGAAAAGTAATATTACCAGCAGTGTCAGTACTACAATATAGTTTTTATTTGCATTATTCTGACATTTTCTTTAGCAGTAAAAAAATGCACTGTTTTTTATTTAATTTATTTATTTATTTTGGTACTGGTGATCAAACTCGGGACCTTGTGCTTGCGAGGCAGGTGGCAGAATCACTGAGCTAAATCCCTGGCTCTACAGTATTGTTTATGAAAGTAACATCACAGGGCTGTGTCCATAGCATGCTCGCTCTCTGTATGTCTGCAGTCATGGAGCTTGAACCCGTGGCCTTGTGCTAAGTCACCCCCAGCTTTGTTTATTGCAGTGCTTGGGCTCGACCTCAAGGGCACTGTACCAGTGAGCTGTATTTCTTGCCCTTTTTATTTTGAGACAAGGGCTCACGAACTTTCTCTGGTTGGCTTCAAACTTGAGAACCTCCTGCCTCACACCTCTTGAGTAGCTAGAATTACAGATGTACACCACACTGTGATTCTCTGATTTTTTTCCTAGTATGTTTGAAGAAAACTTGATATTTCAAATGGTTGACAGCGTTTTAGTTAACTATTTTAGTGCTAGTCAGGGAAGAGTTCAGAATTCTAGCCTTAGACTCCTTACAATTTTTACCTTTTGGTTTTTACCCTCTGTGCTAAGGGAAATACAGGGGTTCTCACATGATAGGCAAGTACTCTACTGGTGAGCTCTGTTCTACCTCCTTGTTTTCATTTTTAAATTTTTTTAATTTTTAGAGATACAGTGCTGGGGTTTGAACCCAGGGCTGCTCCATTCCCAGCCCGTTTTTTATGTTTTATTTTGAGACAGGGTCTTGCTAAGTTGCCCAAGCTGGGCTCAAACTTTCCATCTTCTTGCCTCAGCTTCCCAGCAGGCTGGGGTAAGAGTTGGGCACCACCATGCCTGGGTAGATTTGCTTTTTAAACATCTGAATTTGATGGGGTTTTGGCTCTCTGCAGAAAAAAGTTAAAAATAACCCATTGGGCTAAGCTGTTGATAATATTTATTGTTTATGGAAAATAACTGGAGTCTTCTTTTTTCAGGGTAATCACTTTGATCAGTATGAAGAAGGACACCTGGAGATTGAGCAGGCGTCTCTCGACAAGCCCATAGAATCGGTAAGCTCTGTGCCTGCCTGGGCCGCGGCCGGGCAGGTGAGCAGGCAGTGCTCTTGCCCCGAGTGACTGGCCCTCGAGACTGGCCATAGCTCAGAGCTGTGCTCCTGTATGCGTGCAGTCAGCAGCCAGCGTCTGGGGCAGCCTAGTGTTTATTGTGTGGGGAGTCAGCCTAAGACAGAGACAAAGTAGGATTTGGATGAAAAATACTATTTTGGCCTGTACTGATAATATTGATAAAGACAGCAAGTTAAAGTTTAGTGTTTTTAATAATTAAACAAAGGAGTACAATGTATTTTGACCCTTTAATGTCTTTCCTGGGCAACAGTCACATGAGGCTCTGTTAGGAACAGTGGAGCAGTACAGTGATGCATTTTTTTCACCAGACCTTATTAAATGTCTCTGTAGCTTGAAAAATGTCTGGTGTTTTTTTTTTTTTTTTTTTTTTTTTTTTTCCCAAA